CGTAAGCAACGAAGAAGTCTTAAGAACAATGGAAACAAAAAGCACATATATTCAGAATCTGAAAGAGACAGTTGAAATCTGAAAGTAATATAATGAGGAAGGAGGGTTTAGAGAATTTGATACTCACAGCATTGAAGGAGGCAGCAGACCACTTACCTGTCGTGCTTGTGGGAATGAAGGGCGGGTGTTTGGCAAAGAGACAAACTTTGTTATGGCTACAAAGTATGGAGAGCCATGATCTCCCATGTCCTGAAGAGACACAGCACATAGAAGAAGAAGAAGAAGAAGAAGAAGAAGAAGAAGAAGAAGAAGAAGAAGAAGAAGAAGAAGAAGAATTACATTTGGCTCGAACAGGAGTTGAGATAGGATCTCTGGATAACTCAGAATTTGCTCTCTCTCTCCCTCTCTCTCTCTCTCTCTCTCTCTGTGTGTGTGTGTGTATGTAAACGCGCGCATATTCACAAATTTTTTCTTTTTAATTTTCCGTCAAGAATCACGTGATTGCAATGTCATATTTTTACTTTGTCCACACGTTCTCTTTTTCTTTTTACCTACTCACTCTTTCTCTCCTCACTCTTTCGCTTACCTGACCCTCTCTTTCTTTTCCTCCCCTTTCTTTTTCTTGTTACTGACCCTCCCCTTTTCTCCACTTTCTCATTCTTTTTTCCAGATTCTTTCTTGTTGTCATCCTCTCTCTTTCTCTTCCACTCCGCTTCCATTATCTTCCAAACTGCATCTCTCTCTTTCGCTTTCTATCTCTCTATCTCTCTCTCCATTGACACATATCTTTCTACTTCTCTTTTTCACATTTCCCATTTTTACACACACACACTTCTTTTTTCTCTTTCTTCCTTGACTCTTCTCTCTCTCTCACTTTCTCTACTCTCGTCTCTCATTTTTCTTCCCACACATTTCTTTTCGCCCTTTTTCATTTTATTCTCTCCTCCTACCCTCTCACTATTTTCCTTCTACTACATCTCTATTCTTTTCTCCTTATTTCGCTTCTACTACCTCTCCCTTTCTTTCTCTTCTCTCACCCCTCTCTTTTTCTTCATTCCCCATTTCTGCTCTTCCACCTCTTTCTTTCTCTTCGCTTTTGTTCTTTCACCTCTCTCTTTCATTTCTCTCACCCCTCTCTCTATTTCTCTTTTCCCACCACTCTCTTTATATTTCCCATTTTCTATTTCCTCTTTATCTTTCAACTTTCTCGCTTTCTCTTCTCCTTTTTCTCTCTCTATCGCTTCTCCCATCCCTTCTCTATTTCTCTTCTCCTATCTTCCTCTGTCACCTTCTCTTTCCAACCCCCTCGCTGTATTTATTCTTCTCCCATCTTTCTTTCTATTTCTCAACTATATTTGCGGAAGCCATACTGAAAACACTGTTTATAAATCATTTTAGCACTAAACTTCCTTTTAAAATATTTTGCTTTTTATATCTAAATATTGATGACGTGTAATTTAAAATTTCTATTGTTTTTGTTTCTTGTTTTCTAAATCTTCCACACGCACAAAACTCTTGTGTCTTAGTGGCTTTATTGCCTTGTTTGGGGTAAATTCGATTAAAAAATAGACTTTTCAACGGTTAGAGTGATACAACTGTTGAGTATTTGAAATATATACCTGAATCTAAATTATTAGTAGAGACTCGATTAGTTTAGAAAGTTCGCCATTCTTCCAGATCGATATTCACATAGATACTAATTTCGAGCGTTCAAAATATATGCGAGAAACAAATTTCTTATAGAATTTATTTTTATTCCTGCAAATCTCTTGTGGGGGACAAGAAGAACCTCAATCACAGTAAATTGATTCTGTTGGGGTTTCAGAAGCAAGTGAATATTTTATGTAGCTGTTCTTCTATTCCGCTACTCAAAGATTTTCACTCCCAAGATGGACTGACTTACAGGGTTGCATTCGTTTATACGTAATTTTACTACAACATTAAATGCTAAATGGTTGAAATAAATGAATTTTGTGTCATTTTAATAAATAAAAAGGGCGTTTGTATTCTTTTACACATTTCACTCAACACAAAAACATAGCAATCGAAATACACACATCATGTGTTCGGTTCGTAGATGCATCTACAGGTTTGTAGCCTGAAAGTGAAAAATGAAGCCTTTATTTTATACATCAAATATATATATATATATATATATATATATATATATATATATATATATATATGTATGTATGTATGTATGTATATAAATAAAAAAAGAAAGAACAGTAAGATATATAATCCGGTGTTCTTATAGATATCTTTATTTTTACAAAATAGTGCTCAATGTAAATTTACAGAGCATTAATATTATAAATTAATTGATTTAATTGATTTATTTGATTTAAAATCAATTAATTTATAATATATATATATATATATATATATATATATATATATATATATATACAAAAAATCTCATTGTCAATCTATTTAAAGCAACTATTCTCCCAAGATCATGTTATCTCAACATTATAGAGTGAACATTTCAGATCAAAATTCAGCTGTATCTGTCGATAAACATATTCCGCTCTTGTAATTATTTCAGTTACATGTATCAGGAATCGTTCTGACTCGAACTTACTAAATAATTCTTACATTACCACTTATGATTCGACCTTTGTAATCGTTTATTAGTTCATGCAGTGCTTACTCATTTTGATTTGGTTTCCAGTTTCAATTGCACAAATTTGTTCAGATTCAGCATTTGTTCCCCTATATCGAGATACCTTTCAACTTAAGTGACCGTTTTTTAAACCTCTTTTTGTTTACAAAACTAAATTTACCCCCTCTTTACTCGGCTACAATTTATGAATTTGCCAAGAAGGCAAGAAAATGTGTCAGTAGATTTTTTGTGTAGAGGCACGAAATTAAGTCGCCTGTTTATTTGGTGGCTGCGTATTTACACCAGGCTTTTATATTCTCTCGCCTTTCTGAGCTTATCCATACAAGCTACGACCAGGTCAACTATACAACTATCAAGCAAGAGTTTATGTATGACGATAAACTACATCTGGGAGAGTGACCCGAGGTGGCAGAACCTGTTGGGGTCCCAGCCATGGGTAAATACTGCCCCCCACCAAACAAATACAAAACACTATCAAAGTATAAAAGTACATTTTTAGAGTAAAAATAAAACTTACCAACAATACCTATTTGTAGTAAAAGTTACCAACAATACATTTTATAGCAAAATGACCAACAATACATTTTATAGCAAAATGACCAATAATGCATTTTATCTGTAGGCATGCAATTCCGATCAAAATTAATTTAGTTGAAGCCATAAAATTGTGTTCAAATTATTTACATTTCAGCATTAAATAACCCATAGAAGTGTTGATATGCCGCTAAACAAAATCAACGAAACAAATTCTCTTTTCCGTAACTTCTAATGTGTATCGTGTTCACTGCATGAACAAATATTGATGATACAATTTCTGTACATGTCGATAATTTGTTTTCTCTCAAATATATATATGTCCTGTTTACATTCATGTGCAAAGTATTACTATATCTCGTGGGTGTATTGCAATGCTTATCTTGGGAGGAGAAGGTAAATTTATTTTCACCAGATATTTTATATGGCTAAATTACGCAAGCAAGGCAAAAATGGTAAGTTTTTTTTTCTTATTCTTCGTTGGTCAGAATTCGATCCACCGAGTAGGAATGTGTGTCTCGGCTTTGTCAATTATCGTCAATGCATCAACATTTATTCTGCTTTCTCTAGTTAGGCATAGGGCTAAAAAACGTGAGCTCCTGTTGCGGATTAAATTTACTGCACAAGCAAATGATCTGCAACAAGACCAGCTCTACAGAAAGATTCTTGTATATATTTATGAATTTGGCACAGGTTCACGATTTTAAAGTTCTTACGGATCGATTGTTTATTGATTGTTTAATGATTGGTTCGTTTTCTGCGGCTTATCAACCCTTTGCAGGTTATTTAAAGGCAGAAAATATACATGTCGTACTAATTAGCCCATGGCTAGGGGGAGAAAAAGTAGATTCATTCCTAATCAGAATTTGATAAACAAACAAGAAATTATCACGTGGTTACAAAGTGCGGGGTTAATTTTATATTGCACTCAATATACAAATTGATCCTGCACTTTGTGGCCCCGGCATTTTCTATACATTTATATTCCAGAATATTTATATTAAATAAATCTAAAAGTCATTTTCTAGCCAAACGATTTTAAAGTTCTTACAGATCGATTGTTTATTGATTGTTTAATGATTAATTTGTTTTCTACGGCTTATCAACCCTTTGCAGGTTATTTAAAGCCAGAAACTATTTAGGATCTTTTATGTTAATTCACCCCAAATAATGTGAAGTTACTTATCGTAAATATTAATTCACTCCAAGAAAGTATAAATTTTAAATCAAAGTTTGTTTGCTTTTTTATTCAATTTTTGGCACTCCTTTGAATTTATAAGTTTGTTTAGCTTGCCTTGAAACAAATCCAACCCTCAGAATGCAAAATTACCAAAAATCAGGGAATTATTCACTTTTCGTAAGTGTGGATGATATTCGAGGTACTTACAAAGGAAGTTTTATAATTTAAAAAGAAGTAGAAAAAATCAGTTTTTAGCTTGTTTACCTGGGTGAGCGCGAATGCAGACCCCACACTTAGAAATAGAGAACCCGAGTAATCCATATTTGTGGCACTTGTAAAGGACAACCCAACCAGAGTGCAACGGGAGAGCCTCACTCTGATGGAATTTGGTGAGAAGTTTGGTAACTATAAATTCTTTTTATTTGGGCTGAATTAACAAAAAAGATCCAATATTTTTAGACTGAAGAATTTTTTTGAAATAATGATTTAGTACTACTAAACTTACTACTTAACCCATAGCTGGGGAGTAAAGGTGGATTCATACTCTTCTGAAGGGTATTTGTGTGTAAGAGAATATAACGAACCAAAATGAAATTGGAACTCGGCTCTCCGATTAACAATTACGAGTCATTATCCATTACACCATCCGCACATCCAATCTTACAGCACCTGGTATTCCCAAGCGGTCACCCATCTAGGTACTGATCAGACTTGACGTTGCTTAACATCGGTGATCGTATGGGAACTCGACTCTCCAATTAACAATTCCGTGCCATTATCCATTACACCACCCGCACACCCAAGTTTACTGCAGCTTGTATTTCCAAGCGGTCACCCATCTAGGTACTGACCAGGCTCGACGTTGCTTATCTTCCGTGATCGTACGGGAATCGATGATAGGGATGATTGAACATCTACACATACAAATACATCTATGCTAATATAATACGCATAAATACACATACACATAAATAAACATATACACACTCATACTTGTACATATTCAAAAGAAATTGAAATATATTTTGAAATATATTTTGCAGCTCATTAACATTCAACTTAGACTAGAATGACTTTAGTAATTCTAATTTTGACACGTCACGAAATAAATATAAATATATAAACAAGAGAAATATATGGTCATAAGGCATCTATGGCGAGATAAATAATGTAGTATTGTTGGATAGTTTTTGTATTAAAATTAAATAAATATAAATGAAACTGCATTATTAATTGAAAATAAATAAAAATAACTTATTTGGACGAATGAATTAACTTTAGCGTAGAATGTTTATTTACTGTCCGTCTGGTGAGAAGCCAGTAAGACTTCCATGGCGTCGATTTACTTTGACAGCCGAAAATGGTAGACATACATATTTTTAAATTGTTGGCTTTGTTTCCAATTAGAATTGACGTTGGAGTATATCGAATCATATGTGTTGGTATCTAGCTGTCGGTTCCTAGGAATTGAGCTGCTTCACCCTCATACGTCGAATACGACGGGAGAGTCCACCATATATATATATATATATATATATATATATGAAGAAATATAGTCTCAAGTTGTGCTATATTTATGGGATAAAGTGTTCAATATCAGAGATAGAGCGTGTGTAAATATGAAAGTAAACATTGAAGTCAACACTTAGAGGCAACAGGCTGTTTCATACTAGACACAATCGTCAGGCCTGACGATTCCGTCAGTGTGGCCTGACGATTGCGTCTAGCATGAAACAGCCTGTCGCCTCTAAGTGTTGACTTCAATGTTCACTTATATATATATATATATATATATATATATATATATATATATATAAAAAAAAAAACAGACCACTTTAAGGTACCATTATAATAATTTATTTCACCAGAGCCCTTTTAAAGGACACCGGATCATCAGATAGCACTTCCAAAAATGAAATGAAACGAAAAATGAAATTAAAATTGATGGGTAATGTAAGTTTTTGTAATTTAACAGAGAGTGTAAAAGGGATAGTTAAAGAGACATGGTAGAGTATAGGGAGGAATTAATTTAATTTCTCTCTCAAGTATATTTTATATTGGGGGAGGAGGAGTGACCAGACCTTGACTTATTTAGACGGTTAACTTAACGATATATTGAAATGGGAGGGGAGTAGGGAGAAAAGAAAAAGGAAAAAGAAAGAAGAGGGAGAGGGAAGTAAAGAGAAAGAGGCTGTAATTGGGTTTTAGCAATTTATGTAAAGAATAGATTTTAATGTCTAAAAAAAAATTAATTTGATGTTTGCTATCAATTTAAATATTTAATTTTTTTAAACAAATAGTTTAGGGATTTAATATAAGTTAAATACTATATTTATTAACACATTTATAGAGAACATATTAAAAAAATAATGTAAATTATAATAGTTTGTTTACCCGACCAATCGTACTTTTTTAATATTGTAAAAAATAGTTATCTTTAACATTTTTTATTATATATATTTTATATATATATATATATATATATATATATATATATATATATATATATATACTCTCGATTTTCCCGTCGAATTCGAAATATGAGAGTAAAGCAGATCAGTTCCTAGGAACCGACAGCCCGACAACAGCATATGAGATTTAATTATAGTGGTGAAGGTTTTCTGCAGAACCATCTAGACTTTTTTGAAGAGCCGAATACAGAGACCTGGTGCCCTACGTTCCACAAGGTCCTCAAACGACCCTCCGCAGGTTTTGAAATTGTTCTTCTCCTACACCAGTTGCCATCCAAGGCTATAGAACCCAGTCTGTCCTGCTATTTACCCATAGCTGGAAGGAGAAGAAAAGGATTTATACCTTTCCCAATGGTATTAGCACGTAAGTGAATGTAATGGATTCGACTGGAATTCGAACTTGGTTCTCCGAGTTTGCATTTGCTTTGATAAAATCCATCAGCGGACGAAAAGTGTTGCTTAAGATAGGTTTTCTTGTCTTTATTCGTATTGTACTTTTATATATATGTATTAATAATATCTGAAATTATTACACACACAGACATAGATGTCTGTGTGTGTAATAATTTTAGTTCTACAAAAATATTTGTAGAACATGTGTTCTACAAATATTTTCATCGTAACTGCACGAATGGTTTTTTTCCTGGTACCCAGATGACATGAATTTCAGCGTTGTACTAGATTGGCAGCTAGGTCTCACCGTTTTCCTACTGAAATAGCCAGATGCAATCTTCTTTTCTATTCTAACAGATTTTCTCTCTCGCACTTCCCACCTGTGGAGCTCCCTTCTGATTTCTTGTTTCCTCGAGAATTACAATCTTCAAAAATTTAAATGCAATGTCAATCGCCGTGTTCCTTTATACCATTTCCTCAATCTTTCTCATTTTCAATCTTTTTATTCTCATTCACTTTCACTACCCAGCGTTCTAGTGGCATTGTCGCCTTGCTTGGGGTGAAATGATATCAAGGATAAACAAGGATAATATCCAATACATGTAGGCATTAAATCCCCCACCAAATGGATTATGACATAATAATAAACAATTAGATAACCCCTGAGCTAATTAAATATGTAACATATTTCGGAAGATTAAATAAGATCTTAAATTTGGATGCATATGCGGATATATGTGCGTGCTGTGGTATATATGCATGTATGTGTGTATGTATATGGGTGTAGGCGTAGGTATGCATGTGGAGACACAGGCACACATATATATATATATTTAGTTGGATTGATAAATAATGCATACACACACACACACACACACACACACATATATATATATATATATATATATATATATATATATATATATACGATTCGTGTATATGGAATAATTTCCAGTAACCAACAAATACTATTTTTAAAAGAGTGCTCAATACAGAGTAGAGCAAATATAATTATTTATTCGAAAATTATAGCATAAATATGTTATAAAATCATTACAAAAATAGCCATATTGTTTGATCCCTTCTGGTGTCTTATCAAGTGATGGTGTTGAATGTAGAATAAAGAGTTTTAGAAGGTTCAAATCGACCAAACACCCCTGGCTAGGGCAAACGCTGTTACATAAGCTGCAATGACCAAACAAAATACAAGTAGATGAGAATTCAAAAAAACTTGACAACGAACCTTGGTTATAAGAATTAATGCCTCGACTAAAATAGAAAAATTAGGGCTAGACTAAAATAGAAATCATTCTAACTAATTAATATTAAATTATACTATAAAATTGAAAATTAAAAATTACCAATTTTAAATTTTAAATTTAATCTGTATTAAGCTTAAAATATAAAATTATTTAAAGTAGAAACTGAAGAAAAATACATATGTTTTGTTATTTATGTTGTTTTAATTGAAAGGCCAAAAATTCAGTGAGAATAAACATTAAAATCTAATGTTGATGCAAAGCTTCGTTACAACTTAGTTACATTTGAAGTGGTAATATGGGCAAGGGAGGGTAATTTTTGCAAAAGACAATACATATACAAACATATTATAATACACAAACACGTAGACACATTTAGATATATAAACACGCAAAAACACGAACGAAACAGGAAATAGATGTCCACAACCCTTAAAAAAAACAGACAAAATATGCATACAATGAAAGGCATATATGAGCGATTATACACACATACATTAATAAAGAGAAACACATATACAAACCAGCTAATATTCAAATTTGAAAGTGTTAGTAAACGAATTCAAACAGACTATTTCAATAGTTTACCCAGCTGGCTATTCACTCGAGTCGAGGTTTTTGAATTTTTTAAACTGTTTTTGCATTAAGGTTCACCACGTACCAGGCCCGGGGGTCACTCGTGGTAGTGGCTTACGTTCGGAGGGGAAGATAAAGGTTGACTCTTGGACAGGTTAAGATTGTATTGATCGGGGAAACAGCCTCTTGGTGGGGTCTGTTCCATAGGGTAGTTGTTTTCGGTAAGAAGCTGTTCGAGTGGAACTTATTTCTCGCCGATGGAATGTGGATGGTTTGCTACTATGTAAGTGGACTGGCGGGTCCTAGCCGTGAAGGTCAAACCTGGTGGAACCAAGAGATGCAGTACGTCCGAGCACTTTCCATGGCAGTAGCGAAAGAGCAATGAGAGACTCGCCACATCTAGAGAGGTTAGAAGGTGTAAAATAATTCTTCTCCCACAAGAACTCGGAGACGCCTTTGAACTCTGTCAAGACTGGAAACTAAGGTCCGGGCAACTCCTGCCCAAATATGGAAAACAGTCCTCCATTTTCGGCCTGATCTGGGTCTTATAAAGTTAAAGGATCGCGTGAGGTGCCAGGTACTTAATGGAGCCTTGTATATAGGAATTCCACTTGGGGTTGGGTGTGAGTTTGAAGCCCAATATCCTTTCGCGGCACGGGGCCTTCTCCAGGCGACAACCGTTCATTGTTAGTTTCGGGGTCATATCAGCTGAATGTATCCAGCCAATCTTTTCCTCACTGGGAAATTAGTGTTAAATCGGAATTGAAGTCAGCTGTCAAAATCTGATTTTGAAGACTTCGTCGTATCATCGGCATAGACATTTACACATGATCGGAGTATATTCCTAGGTAGATCATTTATGCAAATCAGAAAGAGGGTTGGTTTAAGAAATGACCTCTGGGGGACACCTGCGTTGACTGCCAGGGCCTCGGAGGCCTGGTCGTTAATAACTATCTTCAGTGATCTACCTGTTAAGAAGGATTTTATAAGAGAGAAAACTCTTCCAGTGATTCCATCGCTGGAGAGTTTGTGTAGCAAATCTTTGTGCCACATCTTGTCAAAGGCCTTTGAGATATCTAACGCTATGGTTTTTGCGGTATGCGTGTCGTCAAGGGTCTCACTTCTGTGTGTAATGGTAGTTAGGACGTCAGCAGTGGATCGGGCTGATCGAACCTATACTGCTCATTGCAAAAGAGA